ATATAACTCGCACCACACGAGTTCCACCACATAGATTGCACTGTATTGCTTGCACTGCATAGCTTGCGCCACGTAGCTTGCACCACGCAACTTGCAGCACACAAGGCTGCTCCACGTACATTGCACCACGTAGCTTGCGGAACCCAGCTTGCGCCCCATAGCTTGCCACACCTGGTTGCACCACAGAACGTGCACATCCACAGTGCAGTCTTCCCGCGTGGGGTCCGCGCTGGCTCTCCGATCGCTCTCGGTCCTTCTGGCATGGTGCTCCCGCTGCAGCGTTGGGCTCGTTCTTGGATCGGCGCTTTGCCGTCGTCGTTCAGAACGGCGCTCTCGCCACAGCTCGGGCTGCATTTCCGGACCCGTGTGCTTTCTCGTGGTTGCCGCTCCCTTCCTTCTCCCTCCCCCGCCTTCTCCTGGTTTATCCTGCCTTTTCGGTTCCTCCCGGTCCTCCTGCTCCTGGGGCTGCAGTTCCTCCTTGACCTCTTCCTTCCTCGTCTTTTTCTTGCTTCTCCTGTTCATCCACCATCTCCGCCTCCAAGTACACACCTCCCTTTTTTACCCAAATTGAGGTCCGCCATGACACCCGCTGGCAGTTAGAGGTGACTCAACCCAATGTGAAGGATGTCAGATCTGGTGCGAACGCAGCTAGCTTGTCTCTCCCCCTCCCCCTCCTCCTCCTCCTCCTCCTCCTCCTTCTCCCCCCTTTTTCCACCATTTCCCATCTTAGCTCTCTATTCGTTCGATCGGAGCGTTCTCGGTCCTGGCAGTGTTGGGCGCACTTCTGGATGGACGCATTGCCCCCGTTGTTTGAAACAAGCGCTCTCATGCAGCTCGGGCCGCCACATGTCTGGATCCCCTCCTCCACCTTCCACTGATCATCCGCTTCCTCCTGCTACTGCACCTCCGCCTCGGACGCGTCGGAAGAACAGATCCACGCATGCATGCGCACGGGACTGTAGAAGGACCGTGGAACAGAAACTCTCAACATAATGCGGGCGGAGCGCGCTGATGGTACGCAAGCCTCATAGATTGCGAACTTGTTACGTTGCACGACGCGATGAAAATTACTCCAGGCGTGCAACCGGCGACCTCAGCCACGCACTGCGTCGTTCAAGCGAACCCGCCATCATTTGAACATGCGTAAGGACAAATTCGCTTGTGCACGCGAGCCTACGAGGACAACGTTGCGAGGTATCGGCTGTGGCGTGCAATCGCGGGCAGGCGTCGTCAGCAACCTGCAGCATGAAACCGAAGGCGCGGGGAAACAGCCGAGGGAGAGAAAACACTTGCAAGCATCGTCGGCGGATGACGTTCCCAACCCGTCGCATGGATTGGAGGGGGAAAGGAAGCGGGGGCCCTAAGCAGCCTGAGGGATACGTGAAGAACTGAGCAAACTAACCCACACATCACTGTTGAAGGAAAACCTGAAGGCGTCCGAGAGATATCGGTGGATCGGATTGCCGCAAAGGTCCTGGCGCAGCCGGTCACACCAGCACGATTCTCCCTCTTCCTCCCCGTATCCCCGCCGCCCCCTGCTCTTGATTCCCCACCTTCCATCGCTCCCCTCCTCTCCCCTCCTCCTCCTCCTCCTCCTCCTCCTCCCTCCTCCTCCTCCTCCTCCTCCTCCTCCTCCTCCTCCTCCTCCTCCTCCTCCGCCCCCTCCTCCCCCTCCTCCTCCTCCTCCCGTGTCCTCCTCCTCCTTGCTCCTCCTCCTCCTCCTTCTCGCCCTCTCTCTCGTCGTCGTGTTCCCTCCCTCCGCTCATCTTTCCTCATCCACTCCTCTCGCTTTCCTCCTCCTCCTCCTCATCCTCCTCCTCTTCCTCCTCCTCTTCCTCCTCGTCCTCGTCCTCGTCCTCGTCCTCCTCCTCCTCCTTCCTCCTCCTCCTCCTCCTCCTCCTCCTCCTCCCCCCCTCACCTCCTCCCCATCTCCCCCTCCCCTCCCTGTTCCTCCCCCATCTCCCCCCTCCCAACCCTGGCGTCACAGCCGCGGCCTGGGAGCCGTAGGCCCGCAACTCCCACGTGTCGAAGACGCGCACCTGCCCGGTGATTCCAGGGCCGCGGGCCGATCTCCAAATCTCCGTCTTGAGCAAGTCGGCCCCACATTTCCGAGGACGTCGGCTACCTAGAGAGTCCTCCTCCTCCTCCTCCTCCTACTCCTCCTCCTCGTCCTCCACCTTCTACTGCCACTCCTCCTCTTCCTCCTTCTCCATCTCCTGGTTCCTCCTCTACTCCTGTTCCTCTTCCTCTTCCTGTTCCTGTTCCCGTTCCCGTTCCCGTTCCCGTTCCTGTTCCTGTTCCTGTTCCTGTTCCTGTTCCTCCTCCTCCTCCTTACCTTCAACGACTTGACCAGATCGACCACATTCGTTTCTGTTTTGGGGAGGGGGGAGGAGGTCGAGCATGTCCTCCTACAGGCGGATTTTGGACGAAAATAGAGAATAGCCAAAACATGTTCAAGCATAGTGAGAACATCGTCCAATACTGTTATTCATACTATTTTTGAATTTTCCTCCTGTAGAAGGACATGTCCGAATTACCCGTAGCCCCTCAAATCTGACACCGGCCTGCCTAATGCAACGCGTGGGTGCCGCGAGGTGGGGCCGAAGCGCTCAAGAAGCAATAGTAGACGTGAAACAACCAAAAGACCATGTTCAGACAGTGCGTGCCGAATGAAACTCACGTGTGTGGCCTGCGCAACAAATAATGGCCAGCCAGCCGCTCATCGGACGATGTCGCGAAATTGCGTAATGCACGAGGTTGAAACATGAGGGTCGGAATCGGAGAACTCGAAGTCGGAAGATCAAATCTTGCAACAATCAACCTCGTACGAAGACCACCATTGTTGCGCCGCCGCTTGCAAGCACCTTCTGCCGTTGACATCGTAATGTTGATACCGGCGTGGTCGTGTGGCGTCGCTCGTGTAGCGTCATCGTCGTCTTGCTGACCCAAAGAATGTAAGAACTGTTGCATGTCGTCGCGCCACCCTTTCCTGTTGTCTGCCAGAACTGTCAACCCCCCTGCAGTCTGGCATCCTGACTTAGGTTCCAATGTATCGCTCTCCTTGTCCAACGGCTCGCGGGGTGACGGGCTACTGGGGCAGCCGAGCGCCGTACCATTTGAGAGCACATGTGCGCAACATCGGGGAGACTGTGACGTCGCATTAACTATTCTGCACTGCGAATACAATCATCGGCCTGACCTTCGGAACGATACATAAGAAACGAAGCCCGTTTTTTCTGGAGTAAAGCGTAAAAAAACGATGAATAATAATAAGTAGCGCATACGGGACGATAAATAACGCATGCGAACCTAAGGAACGACCGAACCCCTTTTGAAACAAGTGTTCCTTATTCGAGCCGTTCACCGTACTCCTTCGGACGAATTCGGACCATAGTTTCACTTATTGCCTGGTGTGTTGGTCGTGTTGGAGTGGCATCTTGTCGTCGTCGTTGTCGTCCCCGTCGCGATGTGCTTGGGAGGGCGGGTTTCTACATCAGTCGTGATCATGAGGAGCGTCAGGTAGGTGATCGTGGGGGTGGTCGTCGTTCTTGTGGCCAGTTCCTGTGGGGTCGCTTGCTGGTCGTGCTGCTGCGGTGCACCTTCGAGGTTTGCCAATGCTCATTCAAGCCATGCGCTTCTGCTCTGCGCAACTGTTGCTCGAACGGCTCTGTCAATGTCCAAGTTTCCGCACTGTGGAAGCACAGTGCCCCAGTAGAGGCGCAGTTTATGTTTTAGTGAATAGCGCCTGCTCGTGAATTCTTGCTTGTGGGATGTGAAGCATGCCCAGCGGGCTTGGATGCGTCGGCTAGTTTCGGTCGCTAAAGCGTCCTGGAAAGTGACCGTCTGACCTAAGTGTTTCATCGTGCCGTTGTGTGGTTCGATGCTGATGTCCATTCCTGAAATGTATGTGTGTGATCGGCTCCTGGGCAAATTCTTGTTTTGTCTGGGTGGACTTCATGCCCATGGGGCTTGGCCTCTGTGAGCGAGTCAGTGAGCATCTTCCTGAAGCTCGGTAGAGTTTGGCTCAAAATCAATGCGTCGTCCGCGAACCGAAGACTTGTGAAGACGAACATCTCATTATCATCCAGTTGAATTCCGCGTCTTCGCTTTTGCCATTCAGGGATTATTGTAGTGGTGGTTGCAGGGGTGTGTTGTAACAGTGCACTGAGCAAAGTCGCGCCAGATGGTCTAAGAGAGCCCCAGAATGAACCAAAGAGAAACCCAATAAGGGTAACTCGCACTAACCGTCCGAACTCTCCGCCCCAAGAGGACCCCCACACCGCCAACGATGCCCAAAAGAAACTCCCCAGAAGCCTGGAGGCGCGCCCAGGACGCCAACAAGAGGCCCCAATAGGCATCACCCGTCGCCTTCGCCCTTCTTCTGGAGGTCGGGGGAATGGAATGGCGTAAGCCTCAGGAGCCCGCGAAAGTGGCGACTATTGCGTAGTTCGCAGCCTCCCAGGGAGCTGCGAGGTCTCGGCTGGGTCCGCGTGGCCCCCGACTCCCCCTGACTTCCCAGCTTCCCATGAGCCCACGAAAGTGGGGACACTTGCGCAGTTCGCAGCCTCCCAAGGAGATGCGAGGTCTCAGCTGGGTCCGCGTACTCCCCTACTCCGCTGTGCATGCCTAGAGCCCACGAAAAAAGGTGACAGTTGCGCAGTTCGCAGCCTCCAAAAGAGTTGCAAGGTCTCGGCTAGGTCCATTTACTCTCCGACTCCGCCGTGCCTCCCAGGAGCCCACGAAAGAGGCAACAATTGCGCAAAACGCAGCGCTCAAAGGAAAGCCGAGGTCTCGGCTGGGTCCGTTCACTCCCCGACTGCGCTGTGCCTCCCAGGAGCCCACGAAAGTGGCGACAGTTGGGCAGTTCGCAGCCCCCCATGGTGCAGCGCAGGAGGAAGCAGGAGGAGGGGGGAAGAGAAGGAGAAGTAGACGCAACCGCAGTGCTCTATCCCAAACGAGAACCCAACACAGAAGGGTAGGGAAAAAACATTCACATATCGATTCTTGAAGTACGAAGGCGCTTGAAATAGACCGGGATCTGGGGATCCGTACATACCTACTTTAGACGACAAGCGCATAGGGGCAGGGGAAATGCTTCTTGGAGGGCGGCTGCTTCTCAGAAAGCGCCGGCCCTACATTTGTCGACAAAGCCGCGGGCCTTCCGAGAGGCAGGGGTGCCTCCAAGGAGCCGTCCCCCCTCCCCCTTTAGGGGAACAAAAAGTGGCATAAACATAAAAACTCGGAGGTCCGCGCGGACTTCTCGGATCGGCGCTGGACCCCCCTGGCGGCGCCTTCGGCGCCGCCCCTGGCACGCTCCGCGCGCCAGGGAGGAGGGTCCAGCGCCGATCCGAGAAATCCGCGCGGACCTCCGAGTTTTTATGTTTATGTCACTTTTTGTTCCCCTACCCTTCCCCCCTCCTCCCGCGGGGTGTGGGGGCGGCACCAGCACGCACCACCTCCAGCGCCAGAAGCCCAGGAGGTTCCGCTGCTGCAGCGGCCCCTGGGCAGGCACCGGCAGACGGGCGCGAGTGCTGCTGTCCGCGGCCGCTGCCGTCGATGCCGCCGACGCCGTCGACGACGGCGTCGGCGTCCACGGCCGCGCCTCCGCCCCTCGCCATCGCCGCCACGCCTGCGCCGTCGTGCTCTGTATGGCTGCTGCGCGCTGCCTCCTCGCTCGCGCCGCCGGCAGTCTGTGAGAGGGAATGCTATAGCGGGGGAGGGGGGACGGGCTCAGGGGTCAGCGGGGGAGGGGGGGCCGGCCCAGGGGGGGAAACACAGAGCTGGTCGGGCGTCGGGGAGATGCATCGCCGATAGATCGGCGACAGGCACCCGATGGCGAAGCCGCACGATCCTAGGCGTGGAGGGCGATCGGGTCCCTATCGGCGATCAATGGGCGATCGGGGGTTGATGCATGCCCCCCTTAGCTGATCCCAGGCCTAACGCTGCCAGTGACTTCGCTTGCCGCCTGCAACCCGTCGGGGGAGTGAACCGCAGCTGCTGCTTCCCAGGCCATCGTGGGACCTGCTGTAGCTGCTCCTCTGCTTAGAGGGAGCGGGTTGGATAGCGAGAGTTTTGCGAGGAGACAGGGAGCATGTTGTAAAACGCTTTACAAACCTGTTGTGCTTTCCACATATCCCCAATCACCAGACAGCTCGCCCCTTGGCCCCCCGCCAGCCCCACGCAAAGGGGCGAGCATATATACGGGCGCAGCACCGCGCTGGATGCGTAGCCGTCGGCTGGGCCAACCAAGCGAATGACGCATCGCGTGGCGGCTGGATGCCCGCGCCGAGCACAGATATTCTCGGTTCCTCCCTCCTCCTTCTCCTCCTCCTCCGCGGGCTTCAAACTGCCATCGAAATATCCTCACCCGCTGGCTTAAAACTACCACCGAAATATCCTCACCCGCGGGCTTAAACCTGCCACCGAAATATCCACACCCGCTGGATCAAAGCAGCCACAGGAATATCCTCACCCGCTGGCTTAAAACTGCAACCGACATATCCTCACCCCCGGAAGTGAAACTGCCACCGAAATATTCTCACCCGCTGGCTTAAAGCTGCCACCGAAATATCCTCAACCGCCGGCTTAAAACTGCCACCGAAATATCCTCACCCACTGGCTTAAAACTGAGACCGAAGTTTCCTAACCTGCTGGCTTAAAAATGCCACCGAAATATCCTCACCCGCGGAAATAAAACTGCCACCGAAATATCCTCACCCGCTTTCTTAAAGCCGCCACCGAAAAATCCTCACCCGCTGGGTTAAACTGCCAGCGAAATGTCCTCACCCGCTGGCTTGAAACTGCCACCGAAATATCCTCACCCGCTGAAATAAAACTGCCACCGAAATATCCTCACACGCTGGCTTAAAACTGCCACCGCTCGATAACACTCGATAACACATCGGTAACACCTTATGCTATCGAGGTGTCATCGAGTGTTATCGAGGTGCTCTCGAGCGTTATCGAGCTCGATCACACTCGATAGCACCTCGATAACATCTCGAACACATCTCGAAAACATGTTATCGACGTGTTATCGGGTGTTATCGAGGTGTTATCGAGCGGGTGATGGTCACCCGCTGGCTTAAAACTGCCACCGAAATATCCTCACCCGCTGGCTTAAAACTGTCACCGAAATATCCTCACCCGCTGGCTTAAAACTGCCACCGAAATATCCTCACCCGCTGGCTAAAAACTGCCACCGAAATTTCCTCACCCGCTGGCTTAAAACTGCCACCGAAATATCCTCACACGCTGGCTTAAAACTGCCTCCGGAATATCCTCACCCGCGGAAATAAAACTGCCACCGAAATATCCTCACCCGCTGGCTTAAAACTGCCACCGAAATTTCCTCACACGCTGGCTTAAAACTGCCACCGAAATATCCTCACCCGCGGAAATAAAACTGCCACCGAAATATCCTCAGCCGCTGCCATAAAAACTGCCATCGAAATATCCTCACCCGCGGAAATAAAACTGCCACCGAAATAGCCTCACCCGCTGGCTTGAGACTGCCACCGAAATATCACCCGCTGGCTTAAGACTGCCGCCGAAATATCCTCACCCGCTGGCTTAGAACTGCCACCGAAATATCCTCACCCGCGGGCATAAAACTGCGACCGAAATATGCTCATCTGCCGGCTTAAAACTGCCGCCAAAATACCCTCACCCGCGGCAAGCAATCTGCCACCGAAATATCCTCACCCCCGGAAGTGAAACTGCCACCGAAATATCCTCACCCACTGGCTAAAAACTGCCACCGAAATATCCTCACCGGCTGGCTTAAACTGCTACCGGAATATCCTCACCCGCGGGCTTAAAACTGCCACCGAAATATCCTCACCCGCTGAAATACCGAAATATCCTCAACTGCTGGCTCAAAACTGCCACCGAAATATCCTCACCCGCTGGCTTAAAACTGCCACCGAAATATCCTCACCCGCTGGCTTAAAACTGCCACCGAAATATCCTCATACGCGGGCTTAGAACTGCCACCGAAATACCCTCACCCGCTGGCTTAAAACTGCTACCAACATATCCTCACCCGCGGAAATAAAACTGCCATCTAACGGCCTGGTGGTTCAGATCAGTCTGTCTACCTCGCGAAAATCAAATTACGGGCTGCGCCCGTAAAATAAGCTGCCACTTTACCACGGCCATTTACCTCGAAGGGGCCCGCAACCATCTCTGAGAGCCGCACTAAGACTATCAGAAGACTCTTTCCTCTCCTCCTCCACCTCCTCAGCTCTTGAGGCGAAGGTGGTCTAACGATATATTTCTCTCCTCTTCCAAAAAACCTCTTCCCTTCGAAGAGGTGTACCTCCCCCCTGCCCTCCCTGGGTCTGGACGGGGGGGGGAACGAGGGGATGGAGGGTCCAAGATTGCCCAAGGCGGCTCCAAGAGGGCGTCCGATGCTCCAAGAAAGCTTCGGGCAGACCTCCAAGAGGCCCGACGAAGGTCACACGACGGTTCCGAGTGCTCTCAGCGCCCCCAAGGACCCCCTCAAGAGGCCCAAATCCATCACACACCTTTGGAAAATCAGCGAGTTGTGCCGTGTCGCTGTTTGCGCTGCCGATGCGCTTTTGAGGCCTCAAGATGGCCCCAAGATGGCCCAAGGGAGGCCCAAGCGGAGCCCAAGAGGGGCCCAAGAGGCTTACGAGACGGCCTCGAGAGCGCCTAAGAGAGTTCCCAGAGGTGCCCCAGAGGGCGATTTCATGACCCCAGGAGGGGGACCAAACGTTAGGACCCCCCCTTTGATCGATAGCCTCCAAGATGGCCCCAAGAGGCCTCCAGGGCCATTCAGAGTGCCCCAAGAGAGCCCCAAGAGGGCCCCAAGAGGGCCCCAAGACCCCCCAAAAGAGCCCCAAGAGGACCTGAGTATCGCCCAGAAGAGTCTCAAGAGGGCTCCAAGGGGCGATTTTAAGGGTTGTGTCTTCGTCATCTTTGACCTTCTCCTCCTCCTCCTCCTCCTCCTCCTCCTCCTCCTCCTCCTCCTCCTCCTCCTCCTCTGCCTCCTCCTCGTCCTCGTCCTCGCCCTCATCGTCTTTCGTCGTAGTCCTCCTCCTCCTTCCCTCGCCCCGACGCGGGCCCCGGGGATGGCCCGAAGAAGCCCTCCAAGGCCACCCCTGCTCCTAGAGATCTCTCTGTTCTCGCTCCTTGCCCGCTCCGTTTCACGATACAGCTTCTCCCCTCCAGACACCCGCAGGGCAAAAAACCAACGGCCAACTAGCTGCCCTCCCTTCCCCGCCAGAGCACATCCGCACCATGGTGAACCAAATGCGTCCAGGAACACACAAACGAATAGACACATCTCCATTGATCTACTGCATCTTTCAATATGCTTTGGAGTTCGGCTTCCCCTTCAGTTCCCACATACTCCCATATGTTCCTGGGCACCCACCGACTGTTTGTTGTGTCTGTACGTTTTTTCCCCACTGACGAGTGGGGATCGTGGAATCGCTGCGCAAGACCACCACCTATATGAAGGGGACCTGGGACACACAAATAAATACACACAAATAACAGGATCCCATTATATTATCCCATACTTTTTGGATTCTCGTCTTCCCCCCCCATTGTCCATGTTTTCCATCGCTTCCTGGGAAATCGACGATTAATTGTGTCTGCGTTTTTTTCCCTCCTGAACCACCATCTATAAGTGACGCGGCAGGGAGGTGCCCAGAGCGCCTCCATGACGCGAGACCTGGCATTCCCCCCAGCTTGGCGCGGAGGTCGGGGATCCGCCGGCTCCCTTTGAAGGGGCCCTGGGACACACAAAAAAATACACACAAATAAAAGGATTCCCAATATTTTCCCATATTTTCTTGTTTTTTTCTTCCCCCACACTTCCCATACTTTTCCATATTGTCTGGGGAATCGACGATCAATTGTGTATGTGTGCTTTTTCCCCTCCTGACCCTTGTGGGGCCACCAGTCGGCGACTCCAAAGGGTGTGGTTTGCAGAGGGTGTGGTTTGAAACCGGCACCCTGGGGAACATCCTGGGGGCACCCTGGGGGGCACGCGGGGGCCTCGATAGAGTTCTCCCGCGCCCGAGGAGGCCCGACGAGGACAGTGTCGTGCCCCCCAGGCACCAACGGTGCCGATCGCAAACCACATCCCGACGTAAGCATACCCTTTGCAGTCGCCGAACCAGGCTGTAGGACCAGGTTGCTGCTCCCTGCGTCAGTTGCAATTTCAAGTCTCCAATGTTGCAGTCCTGCTTTCTGTTTCCGACTGTACATTCCTCAATCAGTGATTGCACTGAAGGTTAGCGGCGGAGATTGGAGGATTTGGCGAAATCTCCGGGCTGATTTCGGTGAGCGGCCGGGTTCTGGGGTTCCTGGTTCCAAGTTCCCGGGCTCCCGGTTCCGGGCCGATTTCGGTGGGCGGCGGGGCTCTCTCGTTCCCGGGTTCCTGGTCGCTCTTCTCATCGGGCGGTCTCACCATCGATCTCATTACCCACCTCTCGTCGATCTCACCATCGATCTCACTACTATCGA